GCCTCGCCTGGCTATGGTCCCTGAACTCTTGTTCACAGTAAGTAGCTGGGGCCGGAGGCTCCCTCCCCATTGCTAGGCTCTTAGAACAAGAACAGGAAGCAGAGAGTTGTTTGAGAAAACACTGGAGGGGAACCCACATCCGCTTTCCACCAGAGAGAGCTTGAGGGAGGGTTCGGGGTGCAAGAGCGTACAGGCCCCACGCTCCAAGCACCAACCGCAGTCTGGCCCTCCCGGACCAAGCACTGCTCAGAGACCTTCCTCAGAGAGGCGTAGAAGCACCCCCATGTTCATGGGGGCTGCTCGTCTGGCTGGTTCTCTGTGGGGTCTGAGTATGTGCGAGTGCACACACTTTAACATCATTCACATCTTCGCATTCTGGGAGGATTAAGTAGACAGTGCATCTCGCGGCACAAAGCTGCTCTTAACTCCTGCCCCCCTTGGGAACAGCATGTGGAACAGAAAGGACCGCCTCTGCTGATCCTAACTGCTAGGCCCAGCTACTGCCAAGTGCAAGGGAGACATGAAGGAGACAGAAAGTCTGCGAACTCAGAGGACCAGGTCAGCAGGGTTGGGGGCTACTATGATGAGCAAGGGAAGCAGGAAAGAAGGACTAGACAGGTGGATTAAGGAAGGAAGGAAGGGTGGGTGGATTCAAGCAAAAGAAAGCATGCTAGGCTGGTGTTTTGGACCAAGACCACCATATTCTCCCTGCTGCAGGCCCCAGCCCTGGGTGTATAAAGCACTTGGACCCCCACAGTGGGCTACCAGGCTAATATGATGGGAAGGAGGCCCAGATGGCTGGAAAGAAGGAGAGGCTTGCCCAGGTTTCTGGGGGCTCAGTGGGTAGGGGACCAGAGGTGGCTTCCTGCCAGTCTGCTCCTGTGGCCGCATGGTGGGTAGCAGGAGCTTTCATGGACTGGGTTTTCCGGAAATTTTTCAGGAAATACACATTGTGGCTTCTGTCCACCAACCGTCATCAGTGACTCCACTCACCAAGGCCAGAGTCTTGAGTGAGTCCTGGTAGATGAGGAGGTCTACCATAGAGAGAGGTCCTGGTAGATGTGGCACTGTTCATGTAGGTGTGTGTACATGTGCGTGAGTGTGGTGAGTGTGTATACACACATGTGTGCACGGGTGCATGTGTACATATATATGTGTATGCATATGTGCATGAGAGTGTATGTGTGTGCACATGCATGTGTGCACAAGTGTGTGTGTGTGTGTGTGCATGTGTATGTGTGTGTGTGTTCTAAAAGACTTGGAGAGGTATCCTGGCCCTGGGAAGCATTGTGTATGTAGGTAAGCAGGACCTCCATATGGAACCCTGTAACCTGTTGCCCAGGCTCCCAAAAAAGTTCCAGCCTTGGTCAGGACAGGCAGGGACAAGGTAGCAGGTCCCAAGGTAGCACTGTCTGTCTAGGTGGCCTTCTTGAGCAATAGAGTCACACTATCTTTGCAACAAGTTCCCACCTTCCCTATGGACGCACCTACACTGTTCCACGCAAGGGCCCTGGGGTTGCTGTCCGAAGCCAAACACACAAGGCCCTTACCTCACAACCAGCGTGGCACTCACGGGTCCCTACCACAGTCACACAGTCTCCAGGAGCAACCAGCTGCTCAGGGCCACCAAGTTCACACCCAGCTCTTACTCACCGTCCAATATCTGAGCAGATCTTGGAGTCAGCAGCAACGGCAGCCTGTGCAAAGGCCCCGGGGCCACAAGAGGCACGGTGGTGAGAGAGGGCCACAGCCAAAACAACGATGGCCAGACCCAGACCCAGACCCAGCAGGACCAGGCAGACTGTGGCCCTGTGACTCCAGGCCATGGCTCAGAGGTCCAGGAAGAGAGAGGGAGGCAGGTGGGCACAGGGCAGCGGACAGAGGAGTGAATGGACTGGCAGATGAACAGGAAAGAAACTATACAGGTAAACTCAAGCAACCAGACAGATGAAAAAAATCAATGGGTACAGAGATAGAGATAAATTATCACACAGGCGAGACAACTGGCTAGGAAAGATAATAGATAGGCTGACAGATAGGTGGGCAGGCAGGTTTAGAGAGGATCAACAGGAAGCCAGTCAGCTGACCTGATGGGTTTATGGAGAGACAAACAACAGACAGACAGACAGACAGACAGACAGACACAGCGGCCAGGCTGCTACCCTCCTCCGGTGCTTGCTACAGAGGCAGATACAGAGGCAGATCTGGCCACAGGTCTGAACTTCCAGTTTTTAGCTCCTACAGCTTGGCCCTGGAGGCAGGCCAGGCATCTACAGGGAGTTTTCTTCTTGAAGAGAAGGGCCAGCTGCTGCTGTTAACTCTTTCACCGCCAGTGGAGCCCACGCCCTTTCCTGCCGGCGTCACGGCCCCTGGGGGCTCCTCATCCCACTGCCATTGGAATGTGACACTTGCTACATCCAGAACTGCACACAGAACTCGTGGAGACTCTCACCCCTTCTCTGGCTCCCAGCTGCTCAGGGTCAGGGTGTCTCCTGCAGGGTGGGACTCCTTTCCCCAGCCCTATACCCTCAGCTGGTTCCACCTAAACATCAGCTCAATCTAGGCACCCACACGTTACAGAGAAGGGACTGAAAGTGAACCAGGGCAGTCACTCAGGACCATTTACCACAGCCTGGCACAGCCTCATCCATACATAGGCGTGTAAGGGTGGGAAGGGGGTAAGCAGACGGGCCACACGTCTAGCCCCTGGCACCCAGTGTCATTGCATCATCGGTGACCCAGAAACATAATGTTAGACCTCTCGAGGGTGAGTCTGTCCTGCCCGGCCGGGTACCCTCACGTCTTCTGCAGCTCAGAGCCCCACTGGCTGCTAGCCTGCCTCTCTGGGTACAGTGGTACTCAGGACTGGGCTTGTGCTGAGGAACCTCCTCCTCCTGGGGGGTCTGGCTTGGGTCCTGTCTTTCCGTGACCTCAGGATGTTCAAGTGGGAGCAGCTGGAGGAGAGGCCCCAGCGAGGTGCTGCTCTCTTGAGTAGACTTACTAGGCTCGCAGGGCTGGACTTTCAGAGTTTCAGGACCTGCCCAGCATCCCTCACTCTTTCCACTGAGCATGCTTCTCGCGCATCTTCATACCCCTCCCCCCTGCTTGGTACCACCCAAAAATGAGGGCCAGAGAGGGAATGTCTACATCCTCACAGGGCCTCCCATCCAGAGGCCCTGCTCAGCGTGGGCCAGCGACACCGTTTCCTGTAAGCCGGTTCCCACTTCTGCCTAGAGGGAGAGGCTAGCTAGCGTCTTCCCTATCCCAACTGTCCCCCGCATGGCCATGTCATTGCTCACCAGGAGCCAGAGTACATTCCTGAGTGTGGGCCAGCCCACCCACTGGTCACGGGTCCTCAAAGCTCTCTAGACAAAGCAATGAGGGACAAGCAGACTCAAGGGTAACTTATCTCCCCCCACCCCCACCCCGCCCTGGTCAGGCATAGGCCAGAGTGAAGAGGCAGAATTCTCCAAGGACTGGTATCATACTGAACTTGGGGGGAAGCCTGTTCTGGTGGCTCCAAAGGTCTCTACTCCAGAAGCGACGGGGAAACGACGATGGGATGAAAAAGCCACTCAAGCCCCCAAACCACAGAGAAGCTCTGGGCTAAACCTCAGGGGTCTGGGAGAGTAAGGTACTCCTCTGGCACCCTGGGGGCATGGACCTCACTAGCCAGTCCCATGGGGCGAGGAACACTGTGACACGCCACACCTCAATGTGCTGGCCTAAGAAGCCTGCCTTCTCCCCTGCAAACACGGACAGAGGAATGACTGCCACCCCTTCTGGCCCAGCTTCTGTCTTCCCCGGGGAACCCCAGAGACTCCTAGGGCCCAGACATGGAGCATAACTGCAGGACAAACTCCTGCTTCCCTGTGGGCAGGGTGGAAGCTCCAGGATTCCTAGCCTCCTGGGCCCCTCCTCCAGCCACTGGGCCCCTTCCCTCAGGGACCCCAACTTGTGCTCACGTCTAGGGGCAATATTTAGTTCCTCAGCTGTGAGTGCCCCAGTGGCCCCCTTCTCTATGCGTCTTCAAGGTCTCCTAACTGAGTGTTCATAGCTGTGAGTTCTACAGACCTAGAGATGTCGGAAGGGGCTGCCCTTTGGGCATGTGCTGGCTAGTTTTCTGTCAACTTGACACAAGCTAGAGTCTTTAGAGAGGGAGCCGCAGCCGGGAAACTGACTCCATAAGATCAGGCTGCAGGCAAGCATGTAGGCCATTTTCCTAATTAGTGGACTGATGCAGGAGGGCCCAGCCCCTCGCAGGTGGAAACATCCTGGGGCAAAGGGTCCTGGGGTTTATAAGGAAGCAGGCTGAGCAAGCCAGGAGGAGCAATAAGCAGCCCCTCCCCAGGTTCTTGTCCTGACTTCCCTTGATGGTGAACTGTGGTGTGGAAGTGCAAGCCAAACAAACCCGTTCCTCCCTAAGTTGCTTTGGTTCTCTGGTTCATCACAGCAAGAGTAGCCCTGACTAAGACAAGGAGGGACATTATGCCTAACTGTGCTTCTCCGGGCCCACCCACTTTGAGCTGTGTTTTCCTCGTGGATCTGTGAGTTCCCTATAACTTGCTGACCTGCTGTCCCTTGAGAACTGGGCCTCTTGCAAGACAAGCGTGGGTTTCACTCTGGGTCTGTGCTTGGGAAGTGACCTCAACTATGGCCCTGTCTTATTTCTGCTTCCCTCCAGTTTTACCTCCAAAAGCGTTGGGCAGTGAGAGCCCACACCGACCCTGCATGTGAAGCTGTCTCAAGGTTCCCACGCAGCTAAGGTGTTGCTTTATCCTAGTTAACGGCATGGTCGGTGCGCCCTCTAGTGGCTGCTACTGGGAAGTGCTACTGCCTAGGACGATTTAGAATGAGGATCCCAACTCCCGAAACACACTGGATTAAAGGTTAAAGGTTGAGGTTAGCTCCATCGCTAACAGTAGTAAATCTTAGGATTCTGCCTAATTATTCTCCCAGCCAGATGGCTCCATTTCATAACAAGACACTAAAGGCCAAGATATGGAAAGTCCAACCAGCAAGACTTCCCAGAGCTTGGCAGTTGGCCGCATTTATTACGCCGCTCTGTCTCACTCAGCGGCAGCACGCCTTCCAAAGTCCAACTCTTGTTCCTGATCAATATCTTGTCTCTGGATTGCAGGTGGGTCTTGCTTCTTCTGAGCACTCAGTAGCCAGCTGGCTCCCCGCCCTTCCTGGAGTCTGAGGCAGCTGCCCAACCATTGGCTGTTCGGGAGACGGCCTGAACCACAGCAATGAAGGTGGGCGTGACCTCCATGTAGTGATTCCGAGTCTTCAGGCCTTCAGTCACCACCTGGGGGTGAGAGGGCCAAAAGAATCTCAGCAAGGCCATGGATGTGGCTGAAACTATACCTGTATGGTCATGGGCCTCACAAGCCCAGTTAGTGCTACTTCCGGTCAAATGACCAGGAAGAACTAGAGAGAGGCCCCTGGGCTTCTAAAGTGCAGCACAATTACCTCTACCTCAGTCTGAAATGGTGATCCTTCACTTCAGGAATCTCAGAATGAGACTGAGACTGAGAACCGTCTCCTCTGTCTTATATTCCTCTCTAGTGCTGGGATTAAAGGATGCACCACTACTGCCTGGTTTCTATGGCAAATTAGTGTTGATTGAAACTGGGATTGAAGGTGTGTGTCACCACTGCCTGGTCTGTAAGGCTGATCAGTGGGGCTGTTTAACTCTCTGAACTTCAGGCAGGCTTTATTTATTAAAACACAAATAAAATATCACTACAGTAAGGTCTCCTGGGAACAGGCTGTTGGGCTGTCACTGAGCAAGGGCTCAAGATGACCCATGCTGAGGGCCTGGGGACCATATGCCTTGGACAGGGGATAGTAGCCACTCTGCTCTGGTGACTCAGAAGAGGCCAAGTCCCCAGTCAAGGATGTCCTCTAATCCCACACCATGATTCTGTTTCCTCAGCTCTTGGCCCACCTGATCAATGTCCTTCTCTATTGTCAGGATCAGCCTACCTGATCAATGTCCTTCTCTGTTGTTGTGATCAGTCCACCTGATCAATGTCCTTCTCTATTGTCAGGATCAATCTACCTGATCAATGTCCTTCTCTATTATCATCAGTCTACCTGATCAATGTCCTTCTCTATTGTCATCGATCTACCTGATCAATGTCCTTTTCTATTGTCAGGATCAGTCTACCTGATCAATGTCCATCTCTATTGTCATCGGCCTACCTGATCAATGGCCTACCTGATCAATGTCCTTCTCTATTGTCATCGGCCTACCTGAT